TTGTGTCTGAATGAGCCTGATGAAGCACAAGCAGCAGGAAGGTCGGGTTTCAGCCTTGAGCTCAGTCCTGAAAGAGCTCCAGTGTCTGTGGAAGAATAAAGTGGCCATTTGAAATGGTGGCGAAATCCAGAGAACTTTCTTGGTATGCACCTCACACTGATTTCTCAGTCAAGCACACACGCTTCCCTAGAAACCCTAAGCCTCCTTTTATTAGCCTGGTTGAGCTTCCAGGGGAACAGGAGCAGCTACAGCAGTACCTGGAGATCCGGGGAAAACCTTGTCCTCAGAGGAAGCTCAGAGAGGACCGTTCTTCTCAGCAGGTCAGGATGGTGGAAAAGCACACTCACTTTTTATAATTGTTATATTTGAGAAGATTTGTGAGAAGATGTGAACTGGAGTTTATTCAAGCACACACACCTTTTATTAAAGTATCACTAGATAGAAGCTAGAGCTTTAACAGTAATCTCAGTGATTGTTGAGTTTCATATTAGACGCCACTCGGCGGGGCGACGCTGGCACAGGAATGAAGAGCTCGCCCCGTAATCGGAAGGTTGCAGGTTCCAGTCGCTGTCGTTGTGTCCTTGGGCAAGACACTCAACCCCCTTTGCCTGCTGGAGGTGGTCAGAGGGACCGGTGGCGCCTCTGTCAGTGCACCCCAGGGCAGATGTGCTACGCTGCATCGTAGCTCATCCCCACCAAGGTGTGAATGTGTGTGTGAATGGTTGAATGACCGTGCTGTAAAGCGCTTTGGGGGTTTCTAGGACTCTAGAAGGCGCTTTATCAAATACAGGCCATTTTCCACTCTGCTGCCCTCTATGGACCACTCTTGGGGCGGCAGTAGCTCAGGTGGTAGAGTGGGTTGCCTCATGATCGGAGGGTCATGGGTTCGATTCCAGCTCCCGCCAGGGGTATCCTGCTGTTGTGTCCTTGGGCAAGACACTTCACCCAACTTGCCTGTGTTAGTGGTGGTCAGAGGGGCCGACGGCGCCAAATGGCAGCCTCGCCTCTGTCAGACCTCCCCAGGGCGGCTGTGGCTACAAGTAGCTTACCATCACTAGCAGTGTGTGAATGTGAGAGTGTGTGAAAGCGTCTTTGGGTGTCAAGAAAAGCGCTATATAAGTTCAATGCATTATTATTATGGACCAGATACTGCACCTGTTTTGTAGAGCAGGTAGGTGTCCCGGGCCACACTTTACCTGTTTTATGGCTGTTAGCTGTAATGCTAGCTTTTAGCATTTTCAGTTGGCCGATCGTCAATAAAAAGCACAAAAAGAAGAAAAATAACAAGTTTGCTTTTTTCTGTCTGCATCACGGTGGAGCCAGGAAGCAAAAGTAAGAGAGTAATGTCTTTGGAGGTGAAGCAAAGAGCTGAAACCAGAGTGAACATCGGCACGGCCGACGCTAGTTTGAGGGAGCTAAAGGAAGCTACAAAATCACAGACTGATGGTGATCTGGCTTTGTTGCTGGACTTGTAACTAATTTTATCTAACAGGGAGCCTAAGTCACTTCTGCACCACGGGTCCCCAGAAGAGTGAAAAGAGAATGCAAGTCAACAGGGCTAAAAATGCTATTTTCTAACTCTGCTTGTTTTGTGCCATGGATTTCACATTTGATGTCCGTGAATTTTCAAGACACATTTTAATCAAATCAAATCAACTTTATTTATACAGCACTTTTCATACAAAACAAAATGCAACCCAAAGTGCTTCATAGATTAAAATGGCTCCATAGGTCCCATATTCCCATCCCAGCCCCCCTCCCCAAGTATAAAACAATTGACAATTACACTTCCCCTCCCGCAACCAATTTCCAAGGTGAACACTCACCCACACACTCGCACACTCACGCACACACACACACACACACACACACACACACACACACACGTGAACAACATGACCAAGAACCGTATTACCAAGAACATGCTTTTGTTTTTTTGTTGTTTTTTTTTTTTTTTTGAACGGGGGGGCAATATTTTAGGTTTTGTGTGAAAATAAGTCCAGGACTACAAATACGCTTCACGAAAGTGACGTCATTGAACCAGACACGGAGAAAACTGAGGGAAAAGTGCTGTAAGTTCAGCAGACTTCCCACAGGAGGAAAGAACCACCATAAATCTGGTCATGTGGTCAGTAGCAGCTACGCTAGGGGGGAGGTGATTATGTGGTGACGTCACATATGCGACATGCCGATTTCTGGTGTGTAGTCGTGCTAATTACGGACTTTTACAAGCTGATAAATTTCAAAGTACGTGACAGGCGTGGTCGAAACACACATCATTACTTTTCATTTAAATTGCAGTACAGCATATGTGCGATCCAGGGCGTAAGGCAAAGCGGATTAGAAAATAGCGTTTTTAGTCCCGTTGACTTGCACATTTCTTCATTCTTCTGGAGACCCGTGAGCCGACCAGAAAGGGAGGAGATGTAGGCTTCCTATTGTGTGAATCTTTTTATTTCACGGTTTACCTGTTGACCATCACCTGCTACTGGAGAGGCTGAGAGACTGAGTAGGCCTATCAGGATCTGCTCTGGAGTGATTCTCCTCTTATCTCTCTGAGCGCTCCTTTTCTGTGGCCGTCTCCAAGTTTAGGTCCTCCACCACCTCTCTTACCCATGGTGTCCCACAAGGTTCTGTGCTGGGGCCTCTGCTCTTCCTCCTCTATCTGCTTCCTCTTCAGCACATCCTGAGCTCCTTCAAAGGAATCTCCTACCATCTTTATGCAGATGACATCCAACTGTGCATCTCCTTTAAGCCCCATGAGATGTCTAATCTGCAGCTGTTACACACCTGCTTAGACTCTATCAAAACCTGGATGGTGGGAGCTTTCTTCAGCTGAATGAAGATAAGACTGAGATCCTCATCTGTGCCCCAGACAAGCTGGTTCCCAAAGTCAGAGACTCTCTTGGTCAGCTTGCTTCTCACACCAAACCTTCTGTCAGGAATCTTGGCGTGACCTTTGACCCAGCTCTCACCCTGAATTCTCATGTCAGTTCTCTTGTTCGCTCTTCCTTCTTCCATCTCAGGAACATTGCTAAGCTGAGTCCCATTCTGTCCCGCTCTGAACTTGAGACAGTTCTCCACACCTTCATCTCCTCACGCTTAGACTACTGTAACTCTCTTTTCACGTGTCTGAGCAGAACCTCCCTGAACCGTCTACAGGTGGTTCAGAACGCCTGTGCTCGGCTTCTGACCAAGTCCTCCAAACACACCCACATCACCCCGCTTCTCCTCCAGCTTCACTGGCTGCCAGTCAACTTCAGGGTTCATTTCAAGATCCTGGTTCTGGTCTATAGGGCCTTACATGGACAAGCACCATCTTACATTGGTGATCTTCTTAGTCCCTACACCCCCAGCAGGTCCCTGAGGTCCAGTGATCAAAGCCTACTGGTTGTGCAGCACCAGGCTAAAGGTCAAAGGTGACAGATCATTTGCTGCTGTGGCCCCCAGACTCTGGACCTCTCTCCCCCTGAGCCTGAGATCAGTGGACTCAGTGGTCTCCTTTAAGAAGCAGCTGAAGACTCACTTGTTCAAGCTGGCTTTTGTATGACCTTCTTCACCTCTCTCTCTTTATTCTGCTCTCCCCACCTATTCCACCTTCCTCAGGATCCACTGATTTCCCTCTTTCCTATTCACTCTCTCTCTTTCTTAACATTTTTGTATCACAATTATCTATTTTTGCTCATTTGAAATATATTTTTAACCGTTTTCTAAATTCTTTTTTATATTTTTACATTTTTTGTTTTTGTGAAGCACCTCATGATTTTTATCTTGAGAGGCGATGTAGAAATGATACTTTCTTCTTCTTTATTTAGTTGGCTCATGTTAGTGTTAGCTCGTTGTTAGCACAAGCTACAGCAGGGTTGTTAACAACAATTGTAATTCCACTTTCAACCAGCAGGGCGGAGGAGCAGGAAACTGCTCACTGTTACTTTAAAGGGCCCGTGTCATGTTAATGATCAGATGTTACTAATGGCACAATTGAGATTTCACATTTTATGAAAAATTCGTTATTTTCATGATCCATTCCTTCAATATGGAAATCAGACGCTTGGATTCAGTGAAACCCCGCCTCCCCTGTGCTAGCTCCACAATAGCACACAGCTGCTGACCCAGAGACTGCAGATCCACGCCATTATGAATCCACTCACATATTAGTTACCGAAGGAGTGTCAAACATTTCTGTTGTTTTTTGTTCTGTTCAGGTAGCTGGTGCCCTCTGAGAGAAAACTCAGCATTTATGAAATGAAGAATAATTTTTGAGGAGCTTTCGTTGTTAAAACATTCTACATCAGTAAGAAAGTTCTGTTTCAACAAAATCCCCTCAGACATCACTGAACTCCAGCTGATTAGTTTTCATGTCCTGTAATAACAGCTGCACCCACAGATGCTTCGAATTCCTGACATCCGTGTTTTTAGATAGACTAGATGGAAATAATCCAGTAAGAAGAGTCGCTTCAGTCCTCAGAGAGTCAAAGCTAGACTTGAACGTGGAAAGAATGACTTGTGAGTGTCTCTAGCTGGTGTGCAGGGCTTTTAAATCTCTGTTTTGGCTCGACGATGGACTGAATGATCCCTAGACATGGATGGCAGCTACCTACGACTTTGGGTGTAACGATAGAAGGATAAAAAAGTTTGGAAAATCCGTGAAAACTTTTCTTTTTAGAGGAAGCCAAGATACTGCGCTTCTGTTTTGAGGTTGTAGCCGTCTCTCAGGGCGTGAACTTTCCTAGATTACAGCTTTGGATCTGTGCATTAGGGCATCATTAATGAATGACATGTTAGAAAACAAGACCGCATCATCCCAGCCTCCTTCACTGGTGACCTTGCAAGTCTTACTCCGTGTTTTTCCCTGCTGTTCTTTAATCTCCGTCCAGGGCCAGCCACCTCTCTGCCGTGGGTGAAAAGATAAAAGCTTTCTGCCTCTGATTTTTTTATCGCTGAAAGAAAAATCCAAAGACCAGCGTGTTTACGACGAGAAACCTCCTCTGTTGCTGCAGGGTCCCAGTGGAGCCGAAGAGGGGCTGCTTCCCGATCCGATCCAGTCCCATCAGCACAGCTTCGTCCAGGAACACTTCCAGGCTCAGTACAAGTGAGTTGAGACTGAAAACACATCCCAATCACACCTGCTTGACATGGAATTGTGTGGTAGCGTCAGAAAGACCAGCAGGGCTCTTGAAAGCCGCTGCAGCGGTTTGCTGGGGTGGACACGACCATCGTGTCCGGGGGGGGGGGGGCTCAGAGAGAGCAGAGGGCAGATATTTCCTCATTTTTAAAACCTTTTAAAGAGCAAGTCACCCCCTACCAGAGTATTACTTTGCTCCCACTCCCTGTTTGAAAAATGCAACAAATGCTGTTGCCTAGCAGACCGAGAGGGCGGAGCCACTAACAAATACACACGCACACAGGCTCACAACGACATTGTGACATCATATGGTACCAGCTAACGTTTACCTCTTAGCCAATAGCGCTGGCAGATTTAAATTCAAATGCAGTGCAGAGTTTTTACCTGACAACGGCACAACACTGACAGTTTCAGGCAGAAAATTTAAATTTTAACTAAAATGTACTAAAGTGCAAAACTATTGACTACACGTGTCTGCAGCACGATTAGACACACATTTATGTAGTTTATCAGAAAAAATAAGTTGGTTTGGGGGTGACTTGCTCTTTAAGGAATGTTTTTTGTGTTTTATGCATTTAAAGAAAACTCAAAGCAGCTTCCTAGTTTTGTAGTAAATCCACACACGCCGTGTCATCATAGGTCATGTGACTACTACGCAGTAGCTGCAATGTTAGGTCTCACACACACACTTTAACCACCTATACACTTCTCAGGTAGGCATGAGAGTAAAAGGATGGAGTCTTCTTACACACACGTTTAATTACCCTGGCACCAACCTCGTTTCCTAATCTTTGGGTCTTCTTGGGAAAACTGAATCTCTTTCCTACGCCTGTTTCTCCTCAGTGGGCTCTTTTGTTCTGGAATAATTGGGGTACTTATCTGTGCTGCTGCTTGAGTGTTTCCTTCTGTTTTAAAGCTCGTCGGTTCAAATATATGGAGATTTTTTTTCCCCTCTGCGTCAAAGATCACTGCTGCCTTTTTGAGGAACAACCCAAAAGGTCATGACCAAACAGCCAGGGAGAATCCCTCTTCCAAATGTGTTAAATGGGAGTGAAACGCTGCTAAATTATGAAGAAATTGAGACACAAGTAAGACACTTTGCTAATTATTTGGGACAATAAAATCTGCACGATCGCTTCACAAATGAAAGAAAAACACAAACGTGTGCCAGTTTAAAGAGACACCAAGCGGCTTTGGCATGCTCTAACACCCCCTAGCGTCCGTTTTACATCAATTTTGTAAAAATCCACCCCGCTGTTCACTTGTGCTTTAAAACCAGCTGACCTCATAGTAAAGTACTGCTATAATACTCTTTGTGGTTGTTTTATTACGTAATGAAAAAGCATGATTGCAATATCTTATTTAAACTTTCTTTGTCTATGAGCTATTGTCATTCGACGGGTAACGAGCAAAATATGGGAGATTCCCGGCCCAAACGGGAGACCTGGCAGCTAGCGTTGCGTCTTCGCCTGAGATATGTGACTTTGTGAGATTCCAGGTCACTGGTTCGGAGAGACCCATGTTGGAAACGCGGTATTCTCCCCACAAGGAGTGCAGGGGGCCTAGATGGTATTCGTTCACCCTATGATGCCAAGTCCACAATGGAGGAAACAGCGGTGCGGAATGGCAGCGGAACGGTTTACTCGCATGCTTCTCGGTACGTGGGGCAGCAGTAGCTCAACAGGCTCAGACTGTTTGAGCAGGTTGTCTAGTAATCGGAAGGCTGCAGGTTCGAGCCCGGCTCTGGACAGAGAATTCTGTTGTTGTGTCCTTGGGCAAGACACTTAACCCACCTTGCCTGCTGGTGGTGGTCGGAGGAACCGGTGGCACCAGTGCTCGGCAGCCTCGCCTCTGTCAGTGCGCCCCAGGGCAGCTGTGGCTACATCGTAGATCATCACCATCAGTGTGTGAATGTGTGTGTGAATGGATGAATGATACACTGTAGTGTAAAGCGCTTTGGAGTCCTTACTCTGAGAGGCGCTATACAAGTGCGGGTCATTTATCATTTACGTCTGGACTCACAAGATCACAGAATCCCTCGAGACTTCAAAGGTCCCAGTTTGGTTATGCCATCCACAATCTAACCAAGAAGAACAGGAAGGAAGAGACCATGTTTGATGTCACATGTGATGCTGTTCCTCACCACTGCCAGGATTAAAGCCATGAAAAACGCACGGTGGCACTTCTCGAAAGATGCTGGGAGTAAATAAGTCGTTAGGTCAAGCGTATAGATGTAATCTACACCGATATGAAATCGTATTGCTGCAATCGTCTTTTATTTTGAAAATTACTGGATGTTTTACACTGAAACTGTGTGCGATTTCGTGTCTAGCCCTGTGTTGGGTGTGGAAATTGATGTGTCCCAGAAGCAGCTTGGGCAAAAAAACTAGAACCCATTCCTGTCTTTAGCGGTGTGGCACGACATGGGGTTGTGGCACGGCATGGCGGTGTGGCACGGCATGGCGGTGTGGCATGGCATGGCGGTGTGGCATGGCATGGCGGTGTGGCATGGCATAGCGGTGTGACATGGCATGGCGGTGTGGCATGGCATGGCGGTGTGGCATGGCATGGCGGTGTGGCACGGCATGGCGGTGTGACATGGCATGGCGGTGTGGCATGGCATGGCGGTGTGGCACGGCATGGCGGTGTGGCATGGCATAGCGGTGTGACATGGCATGGCGGTGTGGCATGGCATGGCGGTGTGGCATGGCATAGCGGTGTGACATGGCATGGCATAGCGGTGTGACATGGCATGGCATAGCGGTGTGACATGGCATGGCATAGCGGTGTGACATGGCATGGCATAGCGGTGTGACATGGCATAGCGGTGTGGCACGGCATAGCGGTGTGGCATTGGTGTGACACGGCATGGCTGTGTGACACGGCATGGCGGTGTGACACGGCATGGTGGTGTGACACGGCATGGTGCAGCATGGCGAGCTGCTTCTGGGACGCGCCTGAAATGTTCTGCGCTGCATCTAGTTCGGATCAGCCCTGCAGACTATGATAGATTCTGTACGGAGCTGGTGCCTCCAGTGTGTAAAGCAGGGGTGTCCAATCCTGGTCCTCGAGGGCCGGTATCCAGCACGTTTTCGTTTTAACCTGCTTCAACACACCTGATTTCAATCAGCAGGTGATTAACAGGCTTCTGCAGAGCCTGATGAGAACCAGCTAATCAAGCGTGTTGAAGCAGAAAAACCACAAAACCTGCTGGTTACCTGCCCTCCAGGACCAGGATTGGACACCCCTGGTGTAAAGGGTCTTTTACAGGGTTCTTCTGGCTCCAGAACATTATTTAGGAATATGACAAAGTAATTTTGTGTACCTTTAATGTAATTTGAAGAAAAAGTATTTATGAAGTTCTAGGTCTCCGAGAGTTAGTCAGGAGGTAAAACGGCAACAGCTGTTCATAATGTTTGGCTGTTGGGTTGCAAATCTGATAAATGAGAGGAGCTCAGATGTCCTTCTGTATGTGACACCCGCTCCTGATGTGATTATTAAACGTGTTTTTCTGCTTCTGCTAGTTCCCTGGAAAACTGACATCTCTGTGTGACCACCAGTAACACGTCTGTTCAAGTGCGACTCCTAATCGCCCCCTTACAGTTTTAGCTGTGACACATATGGGCGTGTCTAAACAGGAGGAGGACCAATCATCTTCCTCACAGGCTAAATCGTGTGTGTGTGTGTGTGTGTGTGTGTGTGTGTGTGTGTGTGTGTGTGTGTGTGTGTGTGTGTGTGTGTCTGGACTCAGACAAAACAAAGGGAAAACCCCTCTATCTGTATTTAGATGGATGATAAAAAGTGCCGACATCATTCCCGATTCTAAGGTCTTAAATGAAGCTAAACTCTTAGCATCTCAGATTGATTTGGATCAAATTCGTCCTGACGTCCCCCTTTCCGCTGAAGGAGCTGCCTCCTGAGGCTCCACCACTGAAGCCTTCTTCCATCCAGAGTTGACGGACTGGAGAATCATTCCTGTAATAGCCCGGTTGTTGCTCCACAATCATCACAGCCGTTGTCCAAGCTACTTCAGTCTTTGAATCAGGGATGAGTTGTTGGATCCTCAAGTGTCATCGCGTTATGGAAGTGATCAGCAGACGCCTCTCCCTCAAATGCTTGATAAATCTAACTTCTTCCTGTTGTTGATGATGTTTGAAATGTGGACAGAAGAGAAATCTGGAACCAGATTTTTGATCTTGCGTGTGACATCATAGGTGTAGTCTGGTGACACAAACACTGTAAAAATTTTCAAGTTCACTCAACTTAAAATTGTTTGTAACCTCGCTGCCTTAAAAATTTGATTAACGCCGGGGACACACCAGCCGCCGAAGCGCCGGGAGGCGAAGCGCTCACGAAATTCAGCCGCTGCTCGCTGCTCCTCAGTTCAGACCAGACGCTTGTTTCTCCGCTCCGGTCGAGGCGCACCTCAAAGTTTTTCTTTTAACCTCTCCGCCTTTTCTCTGCTCTTTTCCTCTACACCCCCCTCCCCCTTGCTGTTTGTGTGTGTGTTTGTACATGTGTGTGTGAACCTACGATGTGAACCAGTTGTTAATAGCTGGCCCACGACTTTCTGCCTCTCTGTCCTGTTTGCTCGGGTTGAAAGACACCCAAAACCACACCCCCTTTACGCGGTCACACACACACACAAGTTCGCTCTGTGTGTGTGTGTGTGTGTGTGTGTGTGTGTGTGGGTGTATGTGTGTGTGTGTGTGTGTGGTTATTATGCAGTATCTGTTTACGAACACATTTGACTATCGCGGAATTTTATTTTGAAATGCTTTATTTTGTTAAATTTACCGGCCTGCCTCTTATATCTAGGTTTGACTTCCTGCCAGAATTGACGCGGTTCACCCGCGGCTCGCAAAAAAAATAGAGCAGATGCCGAAACGATCGCGGTACGGCGCGGACTGGAGCGCCTGTGCGCGGCGCTTCGGCGGCCCATGTGGTCTATAGAATAGACCAAGACA